CTCTCCACACACCTTTTCCTCAATAATGGTGTCAAAGGCTATGTTCACACACACGGCGTAAGGCTGGCTTAAGCCTGGCGTAGCGTACGCCTTTGTGTGTGAACTAGGCAGTGGCGTTGTTAAAGCCATCACTATGCCACGTCCTTGGCGTTATTAACGCTACCTGCAGACCCCAGATTAGCTAACGCCACTGAGCTAACGCCAGTGATGCTTGAATGATTTGACCTCATTTCAAGAGATTGACCAATCACGATTGCAATATATTAGCTACTTTGGTCTCTTTTCTGTGCACTCTATAAATGAAATGGTAAAGGGGTTCCTTTTCTATTGAATTTCACTTAGTTATAATGTATATGATTTATTGATTGTGTTTTGTAAGATATTTTAACCATTTAGACTGTCTACAGTATTAAAACATGCAATATCAACAATGCTAGCTGAAAAATCAAAAGTAAAATTGTTCATTTAAAACACAATAATCATAATTATAGGCCTAAGTTCACTTCGAACAATTCACAGATTTAAAAGTTTTCATGATGCACTGTTAATTATACTACTGTTAACACGTACATTATTTAAAACTGAAAACTATTCCACACCAGATAGGCCAATATTACTGCTAGTGTAACAAACGCTGTTTGTGTGAACACTTTGGAATTTTAATCTGTGGATTAGCTTACGCCTGGCGTAAGCTACGCCAGACGTAAGCCACGCCAGTCTTACGCCGTGTGTGTGAACATAGCCAAAGTTATATAATGTAACATGGGAAAGAACAACTCATTTTAGATTTTTAATTCTCATCATGGTTCCATATACATGCTGAGAACAATGGTAGGAAAGGGAAGCATGGAAACGTATAACCACTATCCATTAGAACTACGGTCAGCACACTTTTACCCCCGGGACACAAAATAAATTGCCATACCTTCCCACAACCCAAGGTCTCCAGTTACCCACACCCTTTAGAAATGTCGTCTCAAAAACAAGCTGTATACAACATAGGCACAGGATAGGCCAGGGACTTTATACTATTTCCCACACTTCTGCTACAATGTCCTCGCAAATATACCCCATAAATGCTGCAACTCCCCCCATATTTCCCACACACGTGCTACCAAGTCCTTTAAAATATATCCCTGTAAATATAGCACCTCCCTGTACAGATATATTTAAGAGTGAGCTCCCCAGGGACAACACCTATTCAGAGTACACAACAGGTACATGTGCGCAGAGAAGTTTTATCAAGCTTATCAGTTCATAACAGATCTAAACAATTAACTCACATTTGAAGAATTGTGGCATAGGCCTAGTTTTAAGCAGTGAAAAACACTGGGGCCAAGGGCTATGGGGGGGGGCGCTGTTCAATAGGCATATAGATCTAAAAATATAACTTTAAAAATTCCTGCTTAAATTTTCCCTCAATAATATTAGCTTTTAGAGGCCATAATTATATATTATATTTATTACAATTTACCTATGTGCCACCAAACATCACGGCAAATTATGATGACTTTCTTAAAAATAAAAACCCTCAAAGAACAAAGAAAAAACATGCCTTGAACGGCTTTGAATCTGTTGAATACAATCAAGGTTATTTTTTTCCATTAGGTATTTATGTATGCTTTGTATCAATCAATCAATCAATCAATCAATCAATCAATCAATCGATCAATCAAAATATTTAGCGCCAATCCAGAAATGTACCATGGTGTGATGCACTAAAATACTTTTTCAAAGCATTTTCTAAAGCAATTGAAATAAGCACGCACGTTTTTGTTTGATTGGCATATTTTAAAGTTGGTGTTCAATTATAATGTACGTTTTTAATCACGTCAGGTCACCATATACTACATGAATACGTTTTACTTCGCTGAAATCATGTCATTGATTATTCTATTGTTTGAAGGTTACCTATTAGTGCCACCAAAACAATTCAAAATAAATTTTTACCAAAAAAAAAAAAAAAAAACCAACAAACTAAAAACAAAAGAAAAAAACATACGTCGAACGGCTTCATCTGTTGAATACAATCAATGTTATTTTCTTCCATTAGGCATTTACGTATGCTTCGTACCATGGTACAATGCACTAAAATACTTTTTGAAGCAGTTAAAAGCCATTGAAATATCGGCACGCACATTTTTGTTTGATTGGCATATTTTAATAAAATTGGTTCAACTATAATGTGCAGTATATCTATAAATGGTAATGGTAATATTAAAGGATAAATGTTGGCATGGTAGCAATATTTCAAGTGTGCTGTATGCTGAGAGTGATATCTTATTAATACTGTAAACAACATTGCTAATCTTATCCCTTCCCACAGTATATTATAATTCTCATCGTTTTGTCCATCAACACTGTCATAATAAAAACACCCGCAATAAGTATGTCACCTAAACGACCAGAACCAAATCACCCAATAAACTTAAAAATTTGATTCAAAAAACATTTGTAACTATATGCATGCCATAGGAGGATGAGGCAAAGCAAATGCTAGATTTGTATTTTTAACATACTGTACTGCACTGACAAATATACTGTAAATATGCAATGTTGCTGCTTTCCACTTCTCTTTCCCCCTCCCCACCCAATTCTCTCTATCTCTCTCTCCACACACCTTTTCCTCAATAATGGTGTCAACGTTTATATAATGTAACATGGGAAAGAACAACTCATTTTAGATTTCTAATTCTCATCATGGTTCCATATACATGCTGAGAACAATGGTAGGAAAGGGAAGCACGGAAACTTATAACCAGTATCCATTAGAACTACGGTCAGCACACTTTTACCCCCGGGACACAAAATAAATTGCCATACCTTCCCACAACCCAAGGTCTCCAGTTACCCACACCCTTTAAAAATGTCGTCTCAAAAACAAGCTGTATACAACATAGGCACTTTGACACAGGATAGGCCAGGGACTTTACCATTTCCCACACTTCTACTACAAAATCCTCCCAATTTATATACCCTATATAAATGCTGCAACTCCCCCCCCCCCATATTTCCCATACTTGTGCTACCAAGTCCTTTTAAAAAATATCCCCCGTAAATGCAGCACCTCCACGTACAGATATATTTAAGAGTGAGCCCCCAGGGACGATACCTACTCAGAGTACACCACCGGGTACTTGTGCACAGAGAAGTTTTATCATGAAGCATCAGTTCATAACAGATCTAAACAATTAACTCACACTTGAAGAATTGTGGCATAGGCCTAGGTATAAGCAGTGCAGGCAGTGTAAAGCACTGGGGCCCAGGGCTATATTGGGGGGGGGGGGTGCTGTTTAGGCATACAGATCTAAAAATATAACTTTAAAAATTCCTGCTTAAATTTTCCCTCAATAATATTAGGGTTTAGAGGCAATAATTATATATTATATTTATTACAATTTACCTATGTGCCACCAAACATCATTGCAATTAATGATGACTTTAAAAAAAAAAAAAAACCAAAAAAAGAAAAAAAAAAACCCAAAAAAAAGAAAAAACATGCCTTGAACGGCTTTGAATCTGTTGAATACAATCAAGGTTATTTTTTTCCATTAGGTATTTACGTATGCTTTGTATCAATCAATCAATCAATCAATCAATCAATCAATCAATCAATCAAAATATTTAGTGCCAATCCAGAAATGTACCATGGTATGATGCACTAAAATACTTTTTGAAAGCATTTTCTAAAGCAATTGAAATAAGCACGCACGTTTTTGTTTGATTGGCATATTTTAAAGTTGGTGTTCAATTATAATGTACATGTTTTTAATCACATCAGGTCATCATATACTACTATTCTATTGTTTAAAGGTTACCTATTAGTGCCAAAAAAAAAAAAACCCAACAAACTAAAAACAAAAGAAAAAAACATAAGTCGAACGTCTTCATATCTGTTGAATACAATCAATGTTATTTTCTTCCATTAGGCATTTACGTATGTTCCGTACCATGGTACAATGCACTAAAATATTTTTTGAAAGCATTTAAAAGCCATTGAAATATCGGCACGCACGTTATTGTTTGATTGGCATATTTTAAAGTTGGTGTTTAATTATAATGTGCATGTTTTAATCACGTCAGGTCATCATACACTACATGAATACGTTTTACTTCGCTGAAATCATGTCATTGATTATTCTATTGTTTGAAGGTTACCTATTAGTGCCACCAAAACAATTCAAGATAAATGTTTACCAAAAAAAAAAAAAACCAACAAACTAAAAACAAAAGAATAAAAAATACGTCGAATGGCTTCATATCTGTTGAATACAATCAATGTTATTTTCTTCCATTAAGCATTTACGTATGCTTCGTACCATGGTATGATGCACTAAAATACTTTTTGAAAGCATTTAAAAGCCATTGAAATATCGGCACGCACGTTTTTGTTTGATTGGCATATTTTTAAGTTGGTGTTCAATTATAATGTGCATGTTTTTAATCATGTCAGGTCATCATATACTACATGAATACGTTTTACTTCGCAGAAATCATGTCATTGATTATTCTATTGTTTGAAGGTTACCTATTAGTGCCACCAAAACAATTCAAGATAAATTTTTACCAAAAAAAAAAAAAACCAACAAACTAAAAACAAAAGAAAAAAACATACGTCAAACGGCTTCATATCTGTTGAATACAATCAATGTTATTTTCTTCCATTAGGCATTTACGTATGTTCGTACCATGGTACGATGCACTAAAATACTTTTTGAAAGCATTTAAACGCCATTGAAATATCGGCACGCACATTTTTGTTTGATTGACATATTTTAATAAAATTGGTTCAACTATAATGTGCATGTTTTTGAATCATGTAAGGTCATCATACTACATGAATACGTTTTACTTCACTGAAATCATGTCATGGATTGTTCTAACGTTGTCAATATTATTATTTGAAGATTTGCATGTCGAAGTATTTAAATGCTTGCAGTATATCATGTAGATAGTTCTGCGAAGTTCTTTTGTTGAAAATGTTGACGTTTCAAATGAGTTGCTTCAATCGTCATCAGTAAATATCAATTGATAATATCAAAATTATATAGACACTGCCAAGGTTTTGTCTGTCTCTGGGTCCGATCACTTACATTTTAGGGCCCAGCAATTATCTTGCACTGGGGCTGTCACCAACTCTCTACGCTGCTGGAAATGTTAATTTTATTAAACCCTTTATAACAAGTTTTGGATTGATGTTTTCACAGGAATCCTTTGATTCTTTGATTTGAATATGATTTGATTTGGAAATAAGGATTCTTAGTACCAAACACTTAAAAAATCCTTTTTTAGACCCAAATGCGATCTGACGACCCTCAATAGTGCATCCAGGACCCAAACAGGGGTTGTGACCCATGGGTTTCCGACCATAGCATTAAAATTCTTAATCAAAATAATATCACATAAGTTGCAGAATCTACAAGTTATAATTGTATTGTTGTTCATTTTGTATTAATCTTACACTCTTTTTTGCAATGTGATGTACCAACTGATTTTCAGAAAAGAAACAAATAAGAAATCTTGAATCGTATTCCCCCTCTCTTCCCATCGAACTTCCCAGTAGTCACAACTCTTTGGACCAAAAGAGAGAAAAAAAGTGTGTTTTTTCAATTTTTGGGGGAGGGCAAAATACATTCTACCAAATGTTCCAAAACACCTCAAAATTGCTAAATTGGTGGAAGGCGGCATAGTTCCTAGTCCTGCCCTTCCAGGTTTACTCCCTGAGCCTGCTGTTTCTGTCTGATTAGACCCACTGTCGAACAGTGCCACCCCCAGCCTTACGGGGTGTGCAGCAGCTACTCCAAGACATGAGAGACTTGCGCTACATATTTTACTAAAAATTATGAGGGACTTGAACTACCATATACCAAAATCCGGTGTCGGTTGAACTACTATTACGGCCATGTAACCTACCAAATTAAACTTGTACTGTTCCCGATATGACGAATAAGACCGCGGTTCTGTCTGTTTGCAATCCCTACTGTTCGTGGCTATGTATCAACAGTAGGTTTAGCACGGAGGTTAGCAAAACATCTTTGCTAACATTGTGTGAAAAATTATGCTTTGAATCTGTTGAATACAATCAAGATTATTTTTTTCCATTAGGTATTTACGTATGCTGTGTATCAATCAATCAATCAATCAATCAATCAAAATATTTAGCGCCAATCTAGAAATGTACCATGGTGTGATGCACTAAAATACTTTTTCAAAGCATTTTCTAAAGCAATTGAAATAAGCACGCATGTTTTTGTTTGATTGGCATATTTTAAAGTTGGTGTTCAATTATAATGTGCATGTTTTTAATAATCACGTCAGGTCATCATATACTACATGAATACGTTTTACTTCGCTGAAATCATGTCATTGATTATTCTATTGTTTGAAGGTTACCTATTAGTGCCACCAAAACAATTCAAAATAAATTTTTACCAAAAAAAAACAAAAAAAACCAACAAACTAAAAACAAAAGAAAAAAACATACGTCGAACAGCTTCATATCTGTTGAATACAATCAATGTTATTTTCTTCCATTAGGCATTTACGTATGTTCCTACCATGGTACAATGCACTAAAATACTTTTTGAAAGCATTTAAAAGTCATTGAAATATCGGCACGCACATTTTTGTTTGATTGGCATATTTTAACAAAATTGGCTCAACTATAATGTGCATGTTTTTGAATCATGTCAGGTCATCATACTACATGAATACGTTTTACTTCACTGAAATCATGTCATGGATTGTTCTAACGTTGTCAATATTATTATTTGAAGATTTGCATGTCGAAGTATTAAATGCTTGCAGTATATCATGTAGATAGTTCTGCGAAGTTCTTTTGTTGAAAATGTTGACGTTTCGAATGAGTTGCTTCAATCGTCATCAGTAAATATCAATTGATAATATCAACATTATATAGACCCTGCCAAGGTTCTGTCTTTCTCTGGGTCTGATCACTTGCATTTTAGGGCCCAGCAATTATCTTGCACTGGGGCTCTCACCAACTCTCTACGCCGCTGGAAATGTTAATTTTATTAAACCCTTTATAACAAGTTTTGGATTGATGTTTTCACAGGAATCCTTTGATTCTTTGATTTGAATTTGATTTGATTTGGAAATAAGGATTCTTAGTACCAAACACTTAAAAAATCCTTTTTTAGACCCAAATGCGATCTGACGACCCTCAATGGTGCATCCAGGACCCAAACAGGGGTTGTGACCCATGGGTTGCCGACATTAGCATTAGAATGTTAATTGAACTACTATATACCAAAATCCGGTGTCGGTTGAACTACTATTACGGCCATGTAACCTACCAAATTAAACTTGTACTGTTCCCGATATGGCGAATAAGACCGCGGTTCTGTCTGTTTGCAATCCCTACTGGCAATCCCTACTGTTCGTGGCTATGTATCAACAGTAGATTTAGCACGGAGGTTAGCAAAAAATCTTTGCTAACATTGTGTGAAAAATTATGCGAGTTTTGATACGGGACGGGGCAGGGACTTTAACTAGCAAATTTACCTGGTATTTCCCACACTTCTACCAAGTCCTCGCTGAAACTCTTCCATTAATTCCCACGCTTGTGCTACAAGTCCTCAAAAATACCCCCCGTAAATGCGGCACCTACCAGTCTAAAAATATTGAAGAGTGAACCCCCGGGCTACAAACACAATAGCAATAATTATTCATACTTACCACGTCCTAATTTGCGCGTCATTTCTGGATTATCTACAATAAATTCCATGCCAGTTTTCGAGTTTAAAATAGCTTTGATAACACCTACAATTCCAAGCTGTAGATACGCATTAGCGATTCCTGAGGATTTATGATCGGACAGTCGTTCCAATGTGCTTAGCAACACGTCTAAGCCGTCCATCTCGAGGAAGTTTTGCATCCATTCTGGATCTGCGGTCGTAATTCTTTTTTTCAGTCCGCTGTAGTTTTGAATAGATGGGATTCGGAGTAGTTGGATACACAACTCAGGATCACTGTTCTCAAGATTCGCAGCACTTCCACCCCCATCCGTGCTGTCTTCGTTGCTAAATAGTTTATCTTTGGCTCTCTTCCACATCTTGTGGTGGTATGCAGACTTAATAATTGATCAAAAGGCAATCATTCTGTAAGAAATAAATGGCATTGTTTGATATATGTACAGTATGAAAGCAGATGTGTAGATACAAGAGGAAATATACGTCCCGTATGCTTGCGAGACGCACACTGTAAGTATAATTAATTTATGTATGTGTGTTAGCCAAGGAATGTGCAATCAACAGAATGAAATTAACACACTAGGCATGTAGGCTATTAATAACAAACCTGAGAAATGGAAGAGGTGCGTTTGAGACAGGATGAGATTTCCACTCATGGATTTAAAGTCAATCCTGACATGACCCATGATAAAAACATTTCACTATATATCTTATACCGTACTGTGAATAAACAGATCAAAACATAAGCCTACCTGAGGAAGAGCTTAAGGTATATCCTCTATGTGTTACAGCTAACAAACAAAACCAGTTTAAAGCTAGACCCATTGAAAACTTATGAATAAGCCTAGAATACACAATCTCCTTGAGGAATTCTCACTTTACAAAAAAAACCCACTTAACGAGTACTATGGCGCGACTCCTCTACAATCAATATTTATAGCCTTTAAAACACATGAGACTATAATAGCATTCTGTATTGTTTAAGAGGTGACAAACAACACTTTATTTTAATCATACTATACTGACATAATCATATAGGTCTATCCACCTACACAGAATTGTGTATTACTTCCTAATATCATGGTTCAGCCCAAAACCAGGTGTCCTAGCTAAAAGTGGTTAAAATAAACAAAATGTCACATCCTTATGGACGTACGTCAAACGGTGTTACGTCCTCAATTAAAGTATCTTTTTCTTCGAAATCACAAGCTGAAATTCCCACCACTATTCATCCTAATGCATGTTGATGAATTTAAATATACTGTAGCTATCTGTCCAGTGATTGATTGCCACACATTTTGAATAACATTTACATAAAACAGGCTGACCATCAACCATGGTCCTATGACTATGTCATATACCACATTAAAAAAATGTGATGTTTTTGTCACTATGCCAAAATCCTAGCTATACCCATGGAGGCATAAAATGTGACAAGGATAGGCCAAACCAGTCACTTCTCGCAAAAATTGATTTTAAGTTATTAATACAGAGTTAAAGAGTAAAATGAGAGCTATAAATGGTAAAAGAATCATTTAAATCCGACATTTCGTTATGAAGCTACAGAGTTTAAATATACAGCTGTATAAAGAGCATTTGAGAAATAAGCCTTCAAAGTTTATGATTTTGGGCATTTCACAGGCAGAAACCATCATCAAATCATTAAAAATTGTTGTTTTAACATTGAAAATGTGGAAAATAACAGCATAACGTGATGTATAGATATAATATAAAGGTTAATATATGCAATAAATAGATTTCAAAAATTTTGAAATTCCAGCATATTTTGCCTATTATCTCTGAAACAGGATTTGCGACGAGTGACTGGTTTGGATTGTCTTGGCCAAATAATACCGGAGTAACACTGCTTCCTGCTTAAAAAAATTAATGGAAAAGTTAATTTTTATCTTTTTTCCTCATGTTAAAGATAAACCACAATAGATTGTTCAATTAAAAGAACTTGAGTATTAAAGTTTCAATAGAGTGATGTACTTGTATACACTATAAAATAAATTATATTACTCAATTATATATATTACAATTTTTAATAAATACCACACATGGTATTAAACATAAATTCATTTTGCATTCCCAAAATATTAATTTTAACATTTTACAGCCAATTTTCAGTTAGTAACTAGCAGAAAATGGAGCTTAACTCATCCTCCTTTCACCTTCCTCCCCCTCCCCAGTTTTTAAATATTCAAAAATCTGTATCTCATTAACCGTTTTCCCTTTTTTTTCCGTCAAACACCCTTCTTGAAAAAATGAGTTGTACAATTACAGCATATCAAAAATTGTTTTCATCCAGAGCTCATGCCTTTACCATTAGAATGTTAAGTTTAAAGATGCTTTATCTTCAAGGAAATTCACATGGTCAATAGTAAAAATGGAATCTTCATCCCTACCCCCCCCCCCATTTTAAATATTCAAAATTTGTATATAATTAACTGTTGTTTCCTCATTTTTTTTTCGTCAAACACCCTTCTTGTGTACAGTAAACTATATAAAAAAAATGTTTTCTTCCAGAGCCCATGGTTTAGCTCTACCTTCAGAGGAATTCACATAGTCGATGGTAAAAATATAATAAATCTACAAAAACAATAAAATGAATTCCCATACCCCATATCACCCCATTTTGCAAACAAACTTCCACATGAAAGCTCAATTTAAAGAATGTGAAACAGATATAATATATAATGACTTCCTAAATGTCGTGGGCCATATGTGGCAATACAGGACACTATGAAACAAAGAATGTGATTGATCTCTTGGCTATTTTTTAACTTTAACAACAATTATGCTTTTGCGGAAACATCAAGATATCTATTACCAGATTCTAGAAAACTTTCTAAATTATTTACAAAAATACCCGTGAGCCAATAAATTGTATAGTTATTATTATAAGTGATATCATATTCGTAGTTATGTACTATTCCATATTTGTTGGAAAATGTCTTGTGCAAATGGAAATCAAATTTCTAAAGCAATTTTTGAACCATAACAATGGGCCTAGTTGTGCACCCTTTTTCGGGGATCGTACACCTCTCATTGGGAGTTTTGGGCCCGGCTCTTTGGACAGTCTCTGACTGTGGTCTCTACATTTAAAAGATATACTTTCAATATACCTACCAAAAATTTCAGTTGACTGCTTATAGTATAACATATAAAATTGTAAACCTTCTACACCTGGTGCAACATCAGTCCATTACCTTTTTATCTGAAATTATTTTTGTTCTGTTGACATACTAGTCTAGGAAGTGATAGCAGAACGGTTTAATCTCTCCATTGAACTCGGTGACAAATGAGCGATTTCCATTTAGATACCGGACAATAGTCCAATCATTGGAAGACTTAATTATCTTAGTACACAAACTTGAGTACAACAGTAATTATTCATGTACAGAAGAGAATACTGTATTGTAAAACCATTGAGACAAATACATACCTTTGTATAGAGAAAACAACAGAAGACAATAGCACAATACATTTAACCACTGACCTCTCAGAAACAAAATAGCATTGAAATAGGTATAGAATACTGTCATATATTTTGTTTCTCTGTTTCCAAGTGCAAATAAATTAATAAATAATTTTAATAATAAAACAACTCTTATTGCAAATAAAATTAAAATTAGTTTATTTGTTTATATTAATTCTTTTATTCAGGTAAGCCTATATGGTAAAAAGTAAAAAAAGCAGAACAAGTCTGGAATTATTGCAGTACCAAAGTCAAAGAAAACCAAATATATCAAATCCACTCAAACAAATATAATAATTAGAAATAATAAAAATTATAGTATTATTTAGTTAATCACTATTTAGCAGCTTAGCTCAGTCGGCTAAACTGGTGGTAGACACTTTGTGTGCGCGAACCATGGAGATCTCCATTTCAATTCCCATCGCTGCTCTCCTTGTTTTTCAGCTAGAGGGCTGAAATGCAAGTTACAATAGCGCACCTTCTTTCGGATGAGACGTTAACCCATTGGTCCCGTGTGCACTTATGGTCTATGTGCATGTTGAAGAATCCTTTACACTATTCGGAAAACTGTAGGAGATTGTCTGCCGGTGTACTGCTCAATCACCGCCAGAGAGACCCCACTGGTAATAAGTTTTCCTTCTGACTTTCGTGGGATATCCTTGATGTTTACACCGAATATATCCAATCCATCTAATCAATCCTAGACTGAAAAAGTGATATTTTTTTTTTATTTTCCTAAAGCAAAATATCACCCTTGGGTGCATTGATATTCAAAGTAAATTATATGATCAAGATAATTCAAACAATATCTGCTAACTAATTACTTTAAAAAATGAAAAAAAAAAAATGTTTAAAAAATGTATAAAAAAAATAAACTAACATGTTTTTTTTTATAGGGCCATAAAATATACTTGTCCGACCTATTTTTTTTTTTTAAACCTCAATCCAAACACTATGTTGGGCCTGAGGTGGGTGTGGCCCACCAGTCAAGGAACAATGGGCAACCAGTCAGGCAAATGCTGATGTCATGGTGCTGTATCTAGTGGAATTGAAATGAGGTAGAGGGTGTGGGAGGTCTGATAGAGGGATTGTGGGATTTATTACCATCATACTATTTCTATTTTTGCTTTGCGTCAGACAGGAAACAGCTGGACACTTCATAGAAAAGTAAATATAAAGCAAAGTACTGTCAATAAATTTGAAAAATATTCACCACTGGTATGTAGTCTATATTAAATTACTCTGCTTTTTAAAAAGGTTTTGTTTTTTTTGGTGTCTAACTAGAAATAGTAGTGAGGCCTCATTCACTGTAAACAACAGAAAGTTGTTTGTTTCTGGAGAGTAGAATGCTATCAATAAATCACACAAATGACATTATAATTTTAGCTGTATGCCAAGTAGTGGTATTAATCATTCTGTCTTGTGAGGACCACTAAGGAAAAAGAAAAGGTTGATTTTTTTTTCTTCTGGCTAATTCCCTGTTTGGTTTAGGTCCCCAATATTCAACCTACGGCCAGCGGGCCAACTCCGGCCCGCCAAAAAATTAGATCTGGCCTCTCTACATTGGTCAAACATAAATTATCTTCCTGGTCGATTTTCAGTTACTGGTTGCAAAAGAATTTGCTAAAGAAGTGAAGATGATATTCACATGAGTAAAAATGCGTTACTTAATCTCAATTTTAGGAATGCAGCAAAACGTTAGAATTAATTAGAAATATTAATGATCCAAGCATTTTTTAAGTGAATAGGAATGTCACCTAGTCTGTCAGTGTTAACAAGTGTCATAGCTTTTTCTGAGAGTTAATTATATCTAGTGGCGTTGAATATTAATTGACATGGGGAAAGGGGGACTGATAAGAAATAAATAATTATATAGAGGGACAGGCTCGGGGTACATGAACTAATCGGAAATTCTGGACCTTGTGGGGTATACACCTATATTAATTTGGGAACACTCATTCTTTGAAAACGTATTCTTACCTCTAAGAATTGCCAATTCCGGGCATATCTGATATGTTTCTTTTAAAAACTTGCTTAACTCAGCCCCAAAGGATAGGGAGCAAATATTGTTCGGGCTCTCGCCCATTCCCTATCCGGGCAATGCATGATATTTTTCTCCTATGTGCTTTTTGCCAAATAAATATTATTATTAAACATGGTGGGGCTGAGGTACCGGTTGTGGTCCCCATTTTGGTGATCGGGATATTTCTAATGGTAGAGTAGGACTGGAGGTGCAAGTTTGTTTAGAGTCCACCCCCTTTTCTATTTGATATTACACTGCATAACACCCTCATTAAAAAAAAAGGCCCATTATGTTTGATGTGGTATCATCAATCTTATGCCAGGCTCCCTATACTGTATTTAGCATATAGACTTGTAGGTCTATAAAAGGGAATAGGTGGGGCTGTCATTGAAAAAAAAAAATATGTCGACCTGACAAGAATAAAAACAAATGCACTCTTAAAACCTCAAAAAAGAACATATTTATCCTGTAATGTCAATTTGACATTGGAAGCATATTATGAGATTCAAGGTAATTAATTGCTGTAAATATTTAATTATTTATTAGGATTTATATTACATAGCAGGAACATTCAGAACTATGCAAGGCACATCTTTGTCGCGGCTGGAAGTTAGATAAAGAATTAACCGTACACAACTGGGGAGTATTGCAAGTATAAGTAATACAGCACTACCAATCATTCTACAACATTCAACTTTTTACAATTAAAACTCGGCTCGGACACGATACCACAAATCGGGGGCCACCACTTTGGTTAGGTGTGAAAGTACACTTACCAATCTTCAAGAGGTATGACGCCGGTGAGGAGCAAATAAAATAATTATAATGTATAGTTCCTCTATCAGTCCTGGGAGGTCTACTGGTTGTGAAGTGGGTCGGGTATATGTGCGAGAAGAGAGCCTTGTGTATAATGACCTTAGGTCATAGTCTCTCCGGAGACAGTGGTATGAGCCCATACAAACTCAACCAGGTACCCACAGTGACATAACCTAAGGGGTCGGAGGTTCCTGGGCAGGGGCCCTTTAAGGGGCTGGGGCTGGGGACCGTGAACGTTCCCCCGGCAGTCTATGACGTAGTTTAATGCCTTACTTACACATTCAAATTCTAAGTTTATGTATCTAAGATTTGACCCAAGAAAAGCTTACTTAAATTTAAATAATATATCACAAATAAACATATTACAATAAATTCTAAACAAAACAAGTAAATTAAAATCAATAAATATTTGTGGACAAAAACCTATGTATTATACTCATGTTTTCAATGCTTTTGCTCATGGTTTAATTTTATGGTTTAAATTTGTTTGTCAAAAAATGTAATTTAAATTTGGTGGGGTCGTTACGCCACTACTGGATACCCATAAACTCCTGGTGAAAAGGGGCAATCCCAGATAAACTTTGCCGTGTATCTAAGTGCCTGTTTCTACTGATAATAAGAACCGTTTCTTTTTGAGAATGGTTCTTTCGGATTGGAATCAACACCAAAAAGGGAACGTCAAGCACTGTTCTTCAAACAAAAGAACCGTTCTTCATGGGGTAGTTTTTAGCTGCAAAATATATAGCAGCCTAATTTGAGGTTCTTGACTTGGTAATCCCATAATAATTGAAACCTATGACAGAACCGTTTCTATTACCTATTTTCCGTAGAAACACACCCTAAAAGTGGGGGGGGGGCCTGATGGGTTACAAAGGTGAAGTGGGGAGGCTTGATAATTAAGTATGGGGTGCTAGCTCATAAAAAATGATTTTTTAATTACTTGAACATATTTTTTTTTCTGCTTCAAACATTTTCAGTGGTGGGAACGAAGGGGGTGCAAGCTTTTTTTTTGGGGGGGGGGGTTTGCACCCTACTCACCCCTAGATTTTCTACTTGATAAACAGTTTTGTCCATGACCTAAGGATTGGAAGTCCAAAGTGTTAACCACTGTGCAATATAAATTCCACAAAATAATAAATAAAGTTAAAGTGATCAAAGACCAGATCCTTGACAGGCAGGATAGGAGGGATTTTGGTGTGAAAAAATCACCAAGGATAGATAATCCATTAAGACATATATCCAATAGGGCACATCTGGTGATAAATTTGCCAGTACACAATGAGAAAACTTTGGACCTGGAGTGTCAATCAAACAATTGACCAATCAAAACAAAGGCAGAAACACTGCATCTTTACAAACAAATGTTTTTTTATGTATATCTATTTTTATGCTATTGATTTGTGGGACCTTTGCAAACAATATCCAAGTAACAGGGCTTAGCTGGAAGATCCATCCTTCACACTCTTCTCCAAAGAATGTCACATTGGGCACATGGGCAGTATATTAACTACATATAAAATATGTAAAATCATAAACATATGAATGGTTAATGAACAACAAATGACATACTGTAATAAAAAAAAATAAACACTTTTAAATAGAAAAAGTAAACACTTAAATAGATACATAAATACATACTAAGCCTAAGAAAAATGTCGAACCTGTTTTATCTTTATTCTCTGAAAACATACGGGATAAAACAAGTTTACTGGGGAATTAGGCTGTTTTTATTTGAGTAAACAAAGGTTCTGGAACTGACAGGATTTGAACCATGGGTCCTGGAATTTGAAGGTTAAACAATGGACCTATTAATAGGTCCATGTATTAACCACTAACATACAACTTCACTACTGTTTCAATACATGGTGAATATACTGCATATACATACAGAGGAAATTGGTGCAAAATTGTTATATGTGTAAATAAAAATGAAATACTTCATTTCAGC